TAGCCAACACAGCCCTAATTATGCTTCTAGTGTTTGCAGCCTGTGAGGCCGCTGTAGGATTAGCCTTACTAGTAATGGTATCAAACACATATGGCCTAGATTATGTGCAAAACCTAAACCTTCTACAATGTTAAAAATTATTTTACCAACATTAATAATACTCCCACTAGCATGATACTCTAAAAAACATACTATTTGAATTAACACCACCACCCATAGCCTAATAATTAGTTCCATCACTCTTTCTCTTTTAAACTATCCCTATAACAATAACACAAATTTCTCACTCACTTTCTTTACCGATTCACTATCAACACCGCTACTAATCTTAACCACCTGATTACTCCCTTTAATAATTATAACCAGCCAAAATCATCTATCAAAAGAACCACTTGTATGAAAAAAACTATATATCTCCATACTGACTATACTTCAAATCTTCCTGATTATAACCTTTACCGCTACAGAATTAATTCTCTTCTATATCTTATTTGAAGCAACCTTAATCCCTACCCTAATTATTATTACATGATGAGGAAACCAAACAGAATGACTAAACGCCGGCCTTTATTTTTTATTTTATACACTAATTGGATCACTTCCCCTACTCATTGCCCTCATTTATACCCAGAATCTCCTAGGAACATTAAACATAATAATTAACTCCCTTACTATACAGAACCTTCCCAACTCTTGATCAAATAATATTCTTTGATTAGCTTGCATACTAGCCTTTATAGTAAAAATATCTCTATATGGACTTCACTTATGATTACCCAAAGCCCATGTTGAAGCCCCAATCGCAGGCTCTATAGTCCTTGCAGCAATCTTACTAAAACTTGGAGGATATGGAATAATACGAATAACAATTATTCTAGACCCATTAACAGAATATATAGCCTACCCTTTCCTAATACTCTCCCTATGAGGCATAATTATAACTAGTTCTATCTGCTTACACCAAACAGATTTAAAATCACTCATTGCCGACTCCTCGGTTAGCCACATAGCACTTGTTATCGTAGCAATCCTTATCCAAACCCCATGAAGTTTCATCGGAGCCACAGTCCTTATAATTGCCCATGGCCTTACCTCCTCCCTATTATTCTGCCTAGCAAATACAAACTACGAGCGTATCCACAGCCGAACAATAGCCCTAGCCCGTGGCCTTCAAACCCTCTTACCTTAAGTGTAAAGAAGATGTAATTAATCCATCTCTATTTCTAAAGTGATGAGGATAGGAAAACGGAGAGATACCCATCTACAGCCTTTAGGAGGAAGAAGGTGAGATTCAGCATTATCATTTTCATATAGTGTGGATATTAAAAATGCTCTAAAATTAACTCCTTGTTGTCCACATGGGCTCTAAAGTTTCTGCATGTTTGCAGGACACTGAGTCACATGAATGCAGGGAAAAGATGGTGGACATCCATCTTAGATGCTTTTGTGCATTGCCCGCATGCCTTATCTAAGGACTCTTAAGTCTAATATGTGAATTAACCTGTGAAATAATCAGTTTCTAGAAACATATTTATAAATACATTTATGCAAACATTATAATGATAAAGGGTATTCACATATTATCTCATTTAATTTTCACAAAAATCCTTTGAAGTAGTTATATTTGTACAAATTAAAATATGAAGTTCAGAGAGACTCTGACAGGGCAAATGTTGCCTGTAAGTCTTAGAGCTGGGGTTGAAGCTAAATCTTATGATTCATGGTTCAGTGCTCTTTCTGCTACCTCTGTACTAATGGTTTCTTTCTTTAGAAGGGGACAGTTGAGTCATATTTAGAAAAGCATTACATTCTTGACATATGTTGTCCAATAATATAGCCACTAGTCACAGGTGGCTAACAAACACAGGAAATGTGGCCAGTTTGATTTGAGATATACTGTAAGTATAAAGTACACAATGAATTTCAAAGGCTTATATTAAAAACAGAATATAAAATATGTCATTAAATTTTAAAAATATGTATTACATGTTTAAATGAGAACATTTGGGGTATACAGTAGGCCCTATGTATCTGTGGGTTCCATATATGTGAATTCAGCCAGCTACAGATTGAAAATATTAAAAACTAACAGATGGTTGCATCTAAACTGAAACTGTTAAGATATTTTTTTCTTGTAGTTTTTCCCTAAATAATTCAGTATGACAACAATTTATGTAGCATTTACCTTATGCTACGAATTATAAGTAGCTTAGAGATAATTTAAAGTATACAGGAAGATGTGTGTAGGTTATATGCAAATACTATACCATTTTATATGAGATACTTCAGAATTTGAGGGGGTCCTGGAACCAATCCTCTATGGATGCTGAGGACACTCATACTGAGTTAAACAAAATATGCTATTACTTTTTTTTTGCTTTTACTTTGAAAAAGTGGCCTCCTAGGATATTTTTAATTGCCTATGTGGTTGCATTTTATTTCTATTGGCCAGTGCTGATCTAAACTCTGTTTTTGTAAATTACCTTCAATAATCACAGTTTTCGTTTGTTTTTGAGTAAGAGTCTCATTCTGTCATTCAGGCGGGAGTGCTATGTAAAATCATGACTCACTACAGCCTTGACCTTTTGTGCTCAAATGATCGTTCCACCTCAGCCTCCCAAGTAACCAGGACTACAAGTGTATGCCACCATGCATGGCTAAGTTTTTTTATTTTTTTATTTTTGTAGAGACAGGGTCTCACTATGTTGCCTAGCCTGGATTTGAATTCCTAGGCTCAAGCAATCTTTCTGCCTTGGCCTCCCAACATACTTGAATTGCAAGCATGAACCACCACACCTGGCCCACAATTTTAATAATACTGTGTGATTCATTGAAATGTTTAAAAATACCTTTTTATGCTTTTAAATTGCTAAATATACAAAAGACCTGAATTATGTCTGCATCGATATAGATTATTTTGGAGGGTGGTCAGACATACAACATCAAAAAATTTTATCCCTAACCTAGTTGAGTTTATAAGCTGGTTAAAAAAAGTAAATACTGGTTATCACTGCTTGTTTTTCTATGGATTAAGATGTAATTTGTGTAACATTTCTGCCTACAAACACAAAAATATAATACAATTTTTTATAACAAGCTATTTGACATGCATGTTACACTGCTGTGGAACCTCTGATTCATGGTTCAGTGTAGGTGGCAAAATACTGAAATGTAAAGCTGTACAGTTTCTATTCTTCATCTAAAAAGACTTTTCTTGAGAAGATATTTTCAATGATTGTCATGTGATAATTTCTGGCACAGAAAATTCAGAGGAGGAAAGAAGAAATGATTTCAGCTCTAGGAAACAATAACTTGCAAATATACCTTTCAAATGTTTTATTTTTGTTTTTTGCTTTGTTTTTTGAGACAGGGTCTCATTCTGTTGCCCAGACTGGGGTACAGTGGTATGACCACAGCTTACTGCAACCTTGAACTCCTGGGCTCAAGGAATCCTCCTGCCTTAGCCTCCTGAGTAGCTAGGATTGCAGATACACCACCACGCCCAGCTAATTTTATGAAAAGTATTTTGTAGAGACAGGGTCACACTATGTTGCTCAGACTGGTCTCAAACTTCTGTCCTCAAGCGATCTTCCTTCCCCAGCCTCCCAAGTGCTAGGCTTACAGGTGTGAGCCACTGTGCCTGTTCCTGGCCCTCTCAAATGTGAATGTGCACGCAAATCATGTGGGGAGCTTGCTGAAATGTAGATCCTGATTCAGTTGGTGTGGGGTTGGCTTTGGGACTGTGCATTTTTAACAAGTTTCTGAGTGATGCTGATGCTGCTGGCCCGTGGACTATACTGAGTAACAAGAACCTGAAGCACGGAGATGTTTAAGGAAGTAAGAATATAGGAAAGAAAAGTCTAACAGGCTTGGGCAGAGGGCAGAAAGGACACTGAAATAGAAAAAAGAACATGGGTAGGATAAGAGACATGTTAGTTTGATAGACAGCCCAGTAGGAATTAAGGGAAAGAAAGGAGAATTAGCTATGTGTTGAAAGTGATCACTGCTTGCAATACTCAGAACAGGTTAAAGGTATATCTTAAAAAAAACAAACATGTTATTAAAAGCAAAAAACAAGAAACAAATAAATCCTGAGCATATGGATTTTTTTTTGAGTTGGAGTCTCACTCTGTCACCCAGACTGGAGTGCAGTGGCCACTCGTGGCCACCGCAGGCTCGACCTGCTGGGCTCCCGCGATCCTTCCGCCTCAGCCTTCCGAGTAGCTGGAACCACAGGCACACGCTACCACGCCTGACTGATTTTTTTGTTTATTGTAGAGATGAAGTCTCGCCAAGTTGCTCAGGTTGGTCTCGAACCCACAGGCTCAGGCAGTCCACTCACCTCAGCCTCCCAAAGCACGGGATTACAGGCTGAGCCACCGAGCCCAGCTGGATTTTCTTGAACATTACTTTGATATTCTTTGTAGTCTCTGTGACTAGAGGACATATATATATGCTAATAGGTAAGGGATGATGGAAAAGGAAGACTCTAGGGTACTTAAGTGACAGGCAAGGGGCAGTTGGACACTCACCTATGCACTTTATTTTCCATCTCTATTCCTTTGGATAAGAGGAGAAGAGTAGATGCAAATGACGTGTTCTGCAGAATTTGGAAACCTGCTCAGAGAACAGCTGTTTGTGTCATGCAGCTTCTTTGTTTTTAGCTGTAAGAAATATTTGGGAAATAAGGGGAAAAAAACCTCCCCAGTCTTTAGCATTCATCTGGTCTCTAACTCTAGAATGAAATGTTCTGTCCTTTGCTAAAAAACTGTGAGACACTGGAGGGAATGGAAAATCTGCTCGTGGTTCCCAAAATCTATGGGTAGGTAGATGCTTACTGACTCCATTTATCCGAATGTTGCCCTTTTGGTTCTCATAATACAAAGTCAGTGCTTTCACAGCTAGAAACACCTGAGCTATGAGGAATTGGAGCTAAACTGGGATTCTGCCTGTCTATTTTGACTTTTCCCCTCCCATCTCTACAGATTTCTCAGACTAGAATGGGTACAATAAATCATTCTGCAGTGACTGAGTTTCAAGATTAACTGAACAACCAGAGCTTCAGCAGCCCATTTTCTGCGTCTTCATAGACATTTATATAGTTTCTATGGTGGGAAACCTTGGCCTGATTGCAATAATTAGGCTGAATCCTCAACTTCACACCCGCATGTTCTATTTTCTCAGTAGTTGGTCTTTTTTGGATTTTTGGTATTCTTTTGTCATTACCCCCCAAATGCTAGCAGGATTTATATGCAGAGATAAATCTGTCTCCTGTTCTGGATGCATGACTCAGCTGTTTCTTATTTTTCTTTTTCTGTTTCTGAATGCTGGCAGCCATGTTCTATGATCACTATGTGGCCCTCCGCTCCACCCCAGTGCCCAGTGTCATCATGTCCCCTGGGGTCTGTTCTCATCTCTGCTGGTGACTGCTGTCCTTTCAGTAAGTTTAACCCATGCATGGAGGTTGTATATTAAGGTTGTCTTCTTGTAGATCAAACATCATTAAACGTTATTTCTGTGACGTTATCCCTCTTATTAAACTCTCCTGTTCTAGCACTTATCTTGATGAGCTTTTGATTTTTGCCATTGGTAAATTTCACATGGTGACCACTAGCCTAACAATCATCATTCTATATGTTTTTATCCTCACCAGCAATCTCTGCATCCACTCTAAAGAAGGCAGGCCTAGGCCGCACCTGCAGCTTCCACCTGACAGTCACTGTTATTTTTTATGGGTCTTTCATGTCCATGTATCTCAAACCTGCTTCCAGCAGTTCACTCACCCAGGAGCAAGTATCCTTAGTGTTGTACACCACTGTGATTCCCATGTTGGTTCCTTTGATATATAGTCGGAACATGAACAGACAGAAAACTTGGGAAATCCCCAGAGCCCTGCCCTTGACCCCTGCTGGCTGGGCATCTTCTTGGAGCAACTCTTGCCACAAAGAAACCTACAGCCACCATCATAGCTGGCTTTCTCACACAGGCACTACCTCCTGGCCAGAGGTCAACAGTACAGCCAACCACAATGGATACAGTACCTTAGCTTTGGGGAAGGCCTGATCACAAACACTAGCTAACAACACTTTCCACATCACTCCAGCCACTGAGGATGCCATGACCCAGTGCAGGTATACAACACAGGGCTACCACAACTGGCAATTGAGAAACTCACCACACCAAGGCTATATATAAACAAGGGGACCTTACAGTGTCTATGTCATCCCCTCTGCCAACCTCAAATAATGAGAAATCATCTAACCAAATAAAAAAGGAACCAGAAAAATAGTTCTGACAATAT